CACCTCCATGTGAGACGTTCGTCTGGGTGACCTGGAACGTTTCGCTCGAGACGTTTTCACCACCTCCTCATTCTAGACATCCGCTTGGGCGACCTGTACACGTGAAAGCAAGCGTCTCGCTCGAGACATCCTCTACACATCTTCATGTTAGACATCCACCTGGGCGACCTGGACACGTGAAAACCAGTGTATCTCTCAAGACATTCTCAACACATTCTCATGCTAGGCATCCGCCTGGGCAACCTGGACACGTGCAAACAAGCATCTCGATCGAGACTTCGTCAACACATCCTCATGCTAGACATCCGCCTGGGCGACGAGGACGTGTGAAACCAAGCGTCTGGTTCGAGACATCCTCAACAAATCCTGTCGCTAGAACTCTGCCTGGGCAACCTGGAGGCATGAAACCAAGCGTCTCGCTCGAGACATCCTCAAGACCTGGGCACGTGAAAGCAAGCATTTCACTTCAGAGATCCCCTGAATTCTGGTCCCCAGGAGAGGACAATCTATAACATCCTCAACCAATTTCGCTCGAGACATCCTCAATTGGTTATTCGCCGGCCCACCTCGACCTCGATATTTATCGCAAAAGAACTTAGCCGCCCCACCTCAAGTCGAAACTGGGGTAAACCACCTAAAAGAGAACACTGGGCCTATGCCTCTTCCGGGGAAAAAAGCGGCAGTGTCGAAACATCTGGGATTCATCGTGGAGGCGATTTCAGTGTTTTTGTTGGAGCAGTCGGTGCTTTGGTGGACATTTTGTACATCGGAGAGCACGGGTTCGGCGATACAAATCAAAAAAAGGGAACGATCTTGCGGCGTGGGTGGCAGGGGAAACGTTGTCGATTGCAAACGCACATTTTCCCAGCCGGGCTTGGGGGAATTGGACACATTACGATGGAAGCAGGCATCGGCAAATTGATTTTTCGTACAGACATAGCCATGAGTGCTCACACGAAACATTCTTCAGCTATTCCAGACTTTGGAGTTGGTGTTGATCACCGAGCATTGGAGCTAACCTTGCAATTGCCCAAGCCTGCGGCCGACAAACGCGGGCAGGTAACATGTCGGAGCTTGAGTCGTTTTGTGGAGCATCCAAACTCTGAGTCTACGTTGACAGAGGAGCTGAAAACAGCTTGTGACTTGGACGAGCCCTGCGGTGCGCTGCCGGCCGCAGACATATGCAGCCGCATTGAGTCTGGAATATCGTCAGCGACAGAGAGGTGCAATGCCAACGCAGCGACGAAGAAGAAACAACGGACAGAGTTGGCTCTTCGAGTTCGTCAGTTGTTTGCGGAAAGAAGAGCAGCCCGAAAGGGAGGAGAAGGACATCGGACACTGAAGTCCATCAGCAAAGAGTTGACTAAATCATTGGGAAGCTGGGAAAGGCAGCGCGAACAAAAGAAAACCGACGACAGTCAGCGAGAATTCTTCAGCGTAGGAAGAATTCAAACCATAGCATACAGTGGTAGGAAACAGCGGCTGATTTGTGTGCAGAACAACGAGGGGACTGAAGTCTCGGACAGACAGGGCATCGCAGACGTGTTTGCGTTTTTTCTTCAAAATGAAGATCTGTATTCGGGCACGCACTGTCCAGGAGAAGCATGGCATACATCGTCAGCTACAGGTGAGCAGTCGAGCGTAGCTCCGGTCACTTCCGCAGAAGTCAGGGATCATGCCCGCAAGCCGAAAAGGGGCAATGCGGCAGACTCGGCCCGCATAGCCGCGGAGATGCAGAAGGCATGAGGCGATTATTTGTTGGATTTGGTAGCCTGCGTCGTCACAAGTATCCTGGCGGATGGAGACGCGCCCCAGCAGACATGGAGGCACACGCACACACACACATCAAAGCGTTTTTCAATATAGGGGCCCCCAACTTGCCGAGCAATTACCGACCTATCTCGATTCTTCCTATCTTGTACAAGCTGTCAAGCATGGTCTTGCACGGGCGATTTTTGGCATACCTTGCTAAACAGCAGTCGGTGGATCAAACGGGATTTTGCAAGGGCTACAGTTGCGACGACCACGTGTTGTTTTTGATCTTAATGCACGAAAAGATGTACGAGCAGAACATGGACCTCTGGGTGGTTGATGTGGATTTCGAGAAAGCGCTCAATTATCTCAGCCACTCGTCAGTGTGGAAATCCCTGAGCGAGCAAGGCTTTTCTGACTCCTACGTTCGAATTCCGCGCACATTGTACGAGGAGCAGACAGGGCAGATCCTGTCCGACCGTGCGAGTCGCATTTCTTGATTGCAAAGAGGTACCAAACAGGGTGATCCCATTTTCCACTTTGTGTAATGCTGTGCTTGGGTCAATCACGCGAGATCTGAAGCAGGGGTGTGGGCAGAAAGGGCATGGAGTGAAGGTGGAGGTGGGGGGCAGACGGCTCACGAACCTGCGGTTCGCGGATGACACTTATGCTGATTGGGGCCGCGCGCTCGCAGATGCGGCGCGCGTTGGAAGACTTGGCGAGGCGCGCTGGCGAAGCCGGGCTGAAACTGCACACGGGGAAGACGAGCATTGCTTCAAACGTTGCCAACTGACGCGGGGTGCTGTCGCAGTCTCACGTGCAAGTCCGCAGTGGCAAGGTTGAGGTGCCCCCCCGCGGGCGGAAGCGTTTCGCACCTGATGCGAAAATTGTGCTTTCAGGGTCTTCACGACGAAGGAACGCTGAGCCTCGCTGAAAAGGTTTTTTTTTTGGGGGGGGGACGATTGGCAAACATAAGACTTTGCTTTGTGATGCGCAGTATCTGCTGCGCTCCCGGCTTTGCCGCTTCGACGCCGCGGTCTCATCGATTGTTTCGTAATGGGCCCGCGCATTCGGGGGCGGTGCTCGTGCTGTCGCAGGGTCTGTGTGCTGGCGCGAATGCTGTCTCTGCGTCTGCCCCGATCCCCTGCCCTCTCCTCGTCCTCGGGGCGGCTGGGGGGGGGGTCGGGGTGCGGGGCCGAGGGTGGGTGGGGGGGGGGATGCTGGTGCAGTTCTTCCTGCGCGGCTGCCGCAGCTGGTTTCTTGCGACGGGGCTGCGGGAGCTGGCGGGCACGGGCCCCGCCGCGCTGGGCCACCGCAGTCCGCGGTCCGCCCGCGTGCGGCCGCTGGCCTGTTGGCCGCGGCCGCGGGAGCTGGCGGGCGCGTGCCCCGCCGCGCTGGGCCACCGCGTCGTGGTGCGGGTGGCGTTGGGGCGGCCTCGCGGGGCCCGTCCGCGCGCGAGGCCGTGCGCGCCGCGAGTTTGCTTGTCTGGGGAGGGTGCCGCGCGGGGCTCGTGACGCGCGTGCCGCCCAGGCGACGCAGCGTGCCGCGTTTTGTCCCATCGTCTGCAGTGCAGCCCAAGCGTGGCTTGTTTTTGCCAGCCGACCCGGGTGTCTTTGCTCGGCGGCCCATGCGTGGCCAGTCGTTTGTCAGGCAGTCCTGGGGGCTTTTCTCGGCGGCCCATGAGTGGCCAATCCTATATAGAAGCAGCCCATGCGTGGCTTGCAATTGCCAGCAGTCCCAGGGGTCTTTGCGCGGTGGCACATGAGTAGCCAAATCGCAGACAAAGCAGCGCATGATTGGCTTGCCATCGCCGGCGCGCCCGGGGGTCTTAGCTCGGCGGCCCGCGAGCGGCCAGCCCGGTGCAAAGCAGCCCATGTGTGGTTTGCCTTGCCCGACAGGATCTTGGGCGCGCGTTGCTTTGGCGCGCGCGTGCCGCGCCCGCGTCGCTTCTTCGCGTCGCCCGGCGCGCCGTTCAGAAGCGCTGCAGAGCGGGGGCCGGCGCGGCCGCGGGCGACGGCGCCAGGGCGCGCGCAAATATTGCATCGCTTGATTCCTACTGCAATGGCGGGCGAGGCCGCGAAGATGGCGTTGGCCGATGCGCTCTGCAAGGTCGAGGGCGCCGAGGGGCGAGATCCCGAGTGGAGCGCCAAGATTGCCGCTGCATGCAGCTGGCGCGCGGAACTGGCGCGAGCTCGCGGACGCCCGCGTCGAGGATTTCGCGTTCTCGACGGGAGAGAATGGACTCGATGCCGGGCAAAATGCCCGCGCGCGCAGGGCTCTCGCCGCCGCTGCCGAGGAAGGCGCGGCGAAACCCGGGGTCGCTGACCCATGGGCGGTGCATGAAGCGTTACTTTCGGGAAACAAGCCAGGCGAGGTGCCGTGCCCGCTGGGGTTGCGCGCGCGGCGTTTTCGGCGCCGCGAAGGCGACGCACCTCTAGCTTGCCAGTGTGGTGTCTGACATCAGCATGAAAGGACTGCCTGCGGAGTTTTGGCCCAGGCGCTCGCGCTCGCCCGCGCGCGCGGCGCAGTTTCGGCGTCGCGTCGCGCGCAGTTCGCATCGCGTGGGCGAGCTGACTGCAGAGGCGGCCAAGCTCAAGAAGGTCGGCGTTGCTTCGCCTTTTGCGCTGGTCGATTTAAAGAGGTGCCCCCCTGAATTCGCGGCTCTCAAAGAGGTCCTCCAAGAAGAGGGCAGAGAGAACAATCTCTCCGAGGCGCGCTGGTCTCGCGATCGAACTCGCGCAACGCGTTGCTATCGCGGCAGGATCTTCTCGATCTGGCCAATGCCATCACGGCCAACTGCCAAGAGGGGAAGCGCAAGGCGTTGGTGAATCTGCCCCAGTAGCAGGCAGCATAGAACAGGGGCCGCGGTCGCGCGAAGTAGCGCCGCCGCGAGAATAACTTTTCCGTTTCGCACAGGTGCGCGCTGGCGGCGGCCGCGACTGGCCAGTTCAGCCTGGCGGCGTTTTGGGCGCGTCGCGATGTTTGCACGCGCGCAGCAATGAATGCCCGCGCGCACAAGCGCCAGTATACTGCGACCAGGCCCGTCGTGCATCGTGCGCCGGGGCTGCGTTGCTGCTTTCGCTTTGTGAGTTCGCGCGGTCTATGTGGGCCGAGCGGGCGAGGGTTGGCGAGCATGTTTTCAGCGCGGAGAAGGCGGCTCTGTAATTCAGCTTGTGGGTGTTGCGCCAGGTAGGGCACGGCGTGGCGCGCGGCGCGCGGGCAGTTTGTGATGTGCTCGCGCCGCGCAGGCCGAGGATGCGCACGACCGCGATGAGAAGCCCGACGCGGGCTCAGGCGGCGGCAGCAAAGGCGAGGTAAAAAGCTCCAGCGGCAGCGGCAAAGGCGGAAGAACGCAGTGCGACCGCCGCGGCTCGTGGTCGCGCGGTGACTGGCGCGACCGCAGCACGTGGTCGAGCGGCCGCGCCTCTTGGACCTGGCGTTTGCAGGCCGCGCGCGCCGCCCAGGCCTGCTGGGGCCTCAGGTGACCGCGAGCCGCGCGCGCCGCCCAGGCCCGTCAAGAAGGCCCGCGTTGAGTAAACCTGAGGCTGAGCTGCCGGCGAGTGGCGCGGCGCCCGCGTGCGCTCCCGCAGTGGTCTCTGCCGCGCCCTATGTATGTTTCGCGTTTATATTGCAATCATCCGGCGTGCATTGCAGAAGCGCGGAGAAGCGGGGGCCTGCGCGCCCGCGGGCGGGGGTGCCAGGGCGCGCGCAAGACTCGCGCCGATTGGCTTTGCTTTTGCAATTTTCGCGCGACGATGCCGCTGCCAGCGCCTCCGCGGCCGTCGGGGATCCGAATGAGGGAAGGGGCCCCGCGGCCGCCCGCGGGCGCGGACGGGGCAAAACGCAGCCGCGCGGGCAATCTGGCAAATCGCTTCAGCCCGGTTGGGGCGCTCCGCGCAGCGGGTCGCGACGCTGCGCGTGCGCGTCGCGTGCAGGTGCCAAATCAAGCCGCGGCGGATAGTGATGCGTTGGATTTCGCCGCAGGGGCGGTCGGCGAGTCCGTTGCATTCCAGGGAGAGCGCAGCTTGCCTAGCGAGGTGTCTGAGGCTTTGAGCTGGGTCACCGCGCGGACGGCTGAGCAGGTCAACGCAGACCGGGAGGCCATCGTGCGCCAGATCGAATTTGATGCCGACGATTTGGTATCCAGCGGCGCGGCTGCGCGTTGGATGCTTTCGGCTAGCGCAGAAGTGAGCAGCGCTGCGAAGGGCGTGACCGGGCCGCCTCTGGAGAGGCTCGCGCACAGAGCGGGGTTCGAGGACCTGGCATGCATCGAGTTTTTCCGCCGGTGCGCGCCCGTAGCGGGGCCGCTGCCTCCCTTGGGATCAGGCGCGCCGGCAGCGCGTGACAATGTCGCGCCGGTCGTCGATCTTGAAATCGGCGGCGAAGGCCGACGCGGCAATGTTAGTGTCTTTGCGCGAGGACAAGCACGCCGGTGAATTAATTCGCGTCGCTGCGCAGGACGTCGTGGCAGGGCGCATGCGCGAGTTGCCCAAGGTCGGCGACCTATGTAAGTTCCGTAATTCTCTCACCGCGATTCGGGGTCGAACAGGTGAAGCCGGGCGGCAGCGTCAAAGTCTGGCCGATCGATGATTGGTCGCGGTCAAAGCTCAACGGCAGCTGTTCTGTAGCCGAGAAGTTCCCCCCCGAGGGCGTGGGCCTGCTCTTCGAGGCCTCCGGGCGCTTGGCGCTGGAGACCGAAGAGCCCGTCGGTTTCTTCGAGGCCGTCGTGGATTCCGCTTTCAGGCGCATCCCAGCGTCGCCCATGCACCGCGCGCTGCTCTATATTTTTATCGTGTTTCAGGGAGTGGCGCACGCGGCGCGGCATTGTGCCATGCCTTCTGGAGCAATCGCTTCCGTTCGCGCGTGGAAGCGAGTGGGAGCGTTAATCTCGCGCGTCGCTCGCGCAGTGCCGCGCGTGCCCCCGCTGAGGTTTGTCGACGACCTCTTCGCTGCAGAGCGGAGGGGATCGGTGGCGCGCGCGCTGCGCTGCCTCGCGCGTCTGGTGCGTTGCGCGCTCGGGCGCGAGGCCATCGCGCCAGCCAGAATGGGCTGAGGATTGCAGCTGCATGTGCTCGGGCTCAGTGCCAGCGCGGACCGGCAAGGTTTATCGCGCGCGCCTTCCGCGGACAGGGTAGTCAAGTGGCGCTTGCGAATTCGCAGCGCTTTGAAAAAAAAACTTCGCTGCGCCCCGGCGACGCTTCCAAGCTGGCGGGAGCCCTGCGATGGGCGTCGACAAATATGTTCCATCGCCTGGGTAGGGCCGCCGCCGTGCCCCTGCATCGTCAGGCCAAACAGACTCGGGCCAAGGTGTCAGCGCCACTCCGCGATGCTCTCCGCTGGTGGAACGAGGCCCTTGCCTTGGAATTGCACGAAAAGAGAGACAGTGGATCTGCCCCAGCGGCCCTCCGGTCCAATTATTTGTGGATGCAAGGAGCACTCCGCCGAGAGTGGCGGCGGTGCACGTGCGCGATGAACAAGTTTACTTTGCCGACTGGGGGCCGCCCCGCAGCTTGATGAATTGTTTCGAGCAGCGGGCGGACGGGATGATCGTGCCCCTGGAGCTGCTTGCAACTACGTTCGGGCTCCGCACCTTGGATAACTTCTCGTGGCGGCGCAAGGTCAGGGCGTGGAGCGACAATGTGGGCGCCGAGACCGTGACCAGCAGGGGGTCGTCCAAGAAATGAGATTACTTTTGCCAGGTCAACTGCCTGTGGCTCAAGGCAGCCCAGCAGCAGATCGCCCTGCGGTTCGACAGAGTTCCTTCCGAACTCAACATCGCGGATCTCCCCTCCCGCTAGGAATATGCCTTGTTTGCCTTGCTCGGCGCTGCGCGCGTGCCGCCCGTGCTCGACGGTCCCTTCTGGGGGCCCGCGTCGTGGTCAGCTTTGTCGGCGGCGATCGCGAGGTTGAAATGGCGGCCGCCAGCGCAGCCAGCGCGCGCCGCGCGAAGGCGGCGCAGCGCGGCGACCGCGAGTCTGAGATGACGGCCGCCAGCGCAGCCAGCGTGCATCGTGCGAAGGCGGCGCAGCGGGATCGGGCGCGTCTTGCGCAGTGCCGCAGCCGGCACCTGCGCAAGGCGCCGGGGGGCGCCGCGGCGCGCGGTGGGCTGGCGCCCGAACTGGCGCGGGTTCGTGCCGCTATCAGGCGGTTGCGGGGCGCGCGGTCTGTCGGCGCGCGCAGGAAGCGATGGCTGTTTGTCCCGCGCAAGAACATGTATATTCGGCACGGCATGGTCGCGCGCATGCTGAAGTTGGCCTTGCGCGACGCTGAACTGAGAGAGACGCCAGTAGTGCGCTTGATGGCGTATATTTTCCTGCTGCGCGTCCCATGGGAGGCAATCCCATGCGTTTGGGGAGCGAACGAGCCCGTGGGCGGAGTACAGTCCTGCGTGCATGTCGCCGGGGACGCACAAAAAGAAGCCCGCGGCTGCGATTGGCCAACAAAAAGAATGCGCCGTCGGGCACAGAGTTGGCCGCGGTTGCTGGTGCTCAAAGCGCCCAGAAATTGGCCGGCGCAGCTGCATCGGTCTCGCGACCTGTGCCGCGGCCATGCGCAGGCTCGGGCACCGCGCCCGGTCGCTCGCTGCGACCGCGGGGCGCGCGCAGGACATGCTTGAATGTGGCAGCCGCCGGAGGCAATTCTAAAAGCCGGGCAGTGGCGTTCGCCAGCGTTCCTCCAATGCATTAATTCTCAGGACCGTGAGTCCGGCGCCGTACTGGAGGCGTGACGCGTTCCGCATTAAGGCGGTTCGTAGTGCAGTCGTTGCTCGCAGGCGCATGTGGACGAGTCTTCCAGCAGCGACTCCTCGTCCGATTCATCAGTCCCGGCGGTGCATCGAGCCGAGGCGCGCTGGGGCGTCCTCCGCGTGGGAGGTCCCCGCGGCATCGTGCCTTGCTTCGCCCCTGCAGGCGCGCGCAGCGGGGGGTGGTGCGCCTCTGGGGCGGGCGCCGCCCGAGCCACCGGGGCCGCGTTCTGGCGTCGGGTTCTTCGCGCCCCTGGCGTCGCGGGCGTCGCTGCGACGCGCGTCGGGGCGACGCTCGGGACGCTGCGCCCCACGTCTGGGGGGCGGCGTTCCCCTGGGACGCGGGGCGGGCCTCGGTATCTCTCTGCCCTCCCGCGGCGCGTGGGGCAGGCATTTGTGGTGAGCCCGCAAACTCGGGGGCGGTGCTCGCGCTGTCGCAGGGTTTGTGGGCTGGCGCGCATGCTGCCCTTGCGTCTGCCCCAATACACTGCCCTCTCCTCGTCCTTGGGGCGGGGGGGGGGTCGGGTTGCGGGGCCGCGGGTGCGGGGTGTGGTGGTGGTGGTGGTGGGGGGGGATGCTGGCGCTGTTCTGCCTGTGCGGCTGCCGCTTCTGCTTTCTTGCGCTCTCTTGTCCGCGGTCCGCCCATGTGCGGCCGCTGGCCTGTTGGCCAAGGCTGTGGGGGCTAGCGGGCACGTGCCCCGCCGCGCTAGGCCACCGCGGTCCGCCCATGCGCGGCCGCTGGCCTGTTGGCCGAGGCCGTGGGGGCTGGCTGCCCCGCCGCGCTGGGCCACCGCGTCGTGGTGCGGGTGGCGTTGGGGCGGCTTCGTGGTACCCGTCCGTGCGCGCGGCTGTGCGCGCCGTGGGTTCGCCTCTCTGGGGAGGGGGCCGCGCGGGGCTCGTGGCGCGCGAGTCGCCCATGCGACGCCGCGCGGCGCGTTTGTCCTGCCCGCCCGCGCCCTGTGGGTTCTTCGCGCCCCCGGCGCCTCGGGCGTCGCTGCGACGCGCGTCGAGGCGACGCTCGGGGCGCCGCGCTTTATTTCTGGGGAGCGGCGTTCCCCTGGGCCGCGGGGCGGGCCTCGGTATCCCTCTGCCATCCCGCGGCTCGTGGGGCAGGCATTTGCGCGGGGGCGGCGCGTGAGCCGTGACGGCGGCTCGACGATCCCAGCACCAGGCGGCAGCGCGGAAGATGCTTCGTAAGATGATTGCATCTCCACCAATGAAGGCAGCCTCTGTGGGGGGAGTGGACGAGTCATGCGTGGATTGGATACGACGTGCAACCAAGAATGCCGTGGGAGAATGCGAGAAGGCAGGGCCCCCGACGTGGGTACTATTCCAACAGCACCGCAAGTTCACCTCGTTGCAACATGATCGACCCACGAACCTGGAAATGAACATAGAAATGCAAGGCATGGTAACGTTTCAAAGACACCTGATTGGGCGACGGGCAAATGCAATGCTGAATGTATCGATATTGATGTATTGTGCCGAGGGCTGTGTTGTGCGTGTGTGTGTGTGTGTGCGTGCTACGCCGTGCTGAACTGCGATGTGCCATGCCGCGACTGTGCTCTATATAGCGTTGTGGATCGAGTCCTCCCTGGCATCCGAGTCCTGACCGAATTGATCTGGATCTGAAGCTCGAGCTGCCTGAGCAGATGGTAGTTGCCCCAGAAGTAATCGACTGAGGGGACATGCCAGGGGGACGCGCCGCGGAACGTCCCAAGGGACGCGCCGCGCGACGT